CTGTGACCAAAACTTGGGATGTTACCTTTTTGGACTATAGCTACCAGATCTCCCAGCCAAAGTGGCTAGCTGGGACACCTAGCACTGAAAATAGGAAGGTGCTTATTGCAGAGCACATAGTTGGAGCTTGTCCTCTGTTTCTCCCTGCCAGCTGTGTGAATTGCAGAGAGAAGTGATGAAGACTGAAGCATCCCATTCATATACATTACAGCATATTCTCTGCTCAGCTGCTCTTCTTCTGAAACACTGTAGGATTGTACAGTCAAGGGTTTTTACCAGGCATCTAATCCCACTCTTCTAGTGGGCAAGTTCAAGGGACAGATTTATTGCTGAAGTGAGAGGGCATGATACTGGCTTGGATATTTATAACTTTCCTTCCTTCCTTCCTTCCTTCCTTCCTTCCTTCCTTCCTTCCTTCCTTCCTTTGCTGGGCCATAGCAAACAAACATCCTCACCCACCCCCTTCTCATCCTCCATTTCTGCTGAAATATTTCATCATTTCACAAGGCATAAAGTTTCCAGCAAGGCAAATGCAAACCCACTCCTTTGGCCAAGCACTTTGAAATTGAATGCAGTGTGTTTGAAGGGCTGCTCCAAACGGGGTCACCTAGTACAAGCACCCTTCAGATCACACCATGGCAGGAAGTGCAATCAGTTTGCTTGAATGACAGTTTCATTAAGCCATGGTCAGTGTTTTTCATCCCCTCCCCACTCTGCATTTTAATGTTGCTTTTGAAAATGTAGATAATGAATAACATTCCTTTTATACAACCAAGTCAGTTCTAATGAAGGTTGCCTTGTGCCTGGGATCAAAGGGTAGACTAGAGAGATCAGTTGAGGTTGATGTATCAGAGATTTATCTTCTATAAAAAAACATATTAATGAATAAAATGGTTTTGTAGAAGACTAGCTTCACAAACATGGCAACGGAATGAAAATAATGTATGTAACATGTATTTGTGTACAGAGATGGTGATAGCACCTTGAAAAAAGCAGGATTTGGTGTCTTATGCACTCAGTATTCTGAGAATGGTTAAATCTTCATTTTAAAAGACAGAAATAAAATCAAGTTTTTGGCCATCCGGCTGCAGAAGCAAGTTTGAAAATGATTGTGAAGAATATGTCACTCAGTGGTAGAGCATGTGCTTTGCAGGCAGAAGTTCCTAGTTTCAATCCTTATTACTTTCCTCTGAAAAGATGAAGTATCAGATCACGGGAAAGACCTCTCTGCCAGATATACCAGGGAGCTACTGGTAAAAGTAGATAATACCTTGCTAGATGAGGGAAATAATCTCCTAAAGCTAAGAAAAATTACTTTGGAGGCAATAAATCATAGAATCTGGATTTTGGATTTATAGTCCAAAAAGGTAACATGTCCAAGCTTTGTATCTCCATATGTTCAGTAGAAGTGATGTCTTGCGTTCCATAGCATCTTGTTTCCCTTCCTAAGAGATAAGAGGAGAAGAATGCAGATGTATGCAGATTTGCTTCATCTGCATAATTTATTTGAAATATTATAATTAAAGTGGTTGATCTGCTATTGGTGGCCTAAAATATCAATAATATGTCAGGAGATAAGAAAACCAGCTTCTAATTGTGCATGGAAAGGGTAGCTCATGACTGGAGTGGAGGTTGCCTTCCCCCCCCGCAAAAAAAATTCTGGGGATAGGTACCGAACCCCCATTCCTCTATGTGAGCTGTTCTTCCCATACTCTACTAGAATTTAGTTGGAAAGATTCTGAGAATAATCTTTGGTATCTAGGTGCAGGACATGCCTAATCAGAACATTCTGACAGTTTGTGCCTTCTGATTGGCCTAGAAAGTGCTGTATGTAGTAGACTTGTGTCTCTGTAATATTTTATTTCATGTTCTTTGAAACAAACAGTAATTTTATTCATGTTAAGTATATTTGCCAAAGAAATCCTTTGGGTGACTGTTAAGTGTAGAGTGGTCTTGGAACCTCAGGCCTTGCGCCAGAGGAAAATATTAAAGAGCAACTTACTAGTTTATGGCCACATTGTAGAGACAGTTAGCTGATTTGTTGTGTATCTCTCTGTGTTGCTGAAACCTGTAGCAAAAGTGTCACTTTTAACGCAGGACTGTTCACAATAAAACGTGACTGGAGCTAGATTTGGGAACCTTTGCAATTATGTTGTGCTGAACCAGCTAGAGGTTCAGAATGAAGTGTTCCTTGAGCTATGATGTCTTCTCTTAAACTAGAGCTAGATTTATGGACCCTTTGGTTTTCCCTGACCTAGCAGGCCTGTAAAAACTTTTAGGCCACCCTGGCCCAACTGAGTTTACTTGGATCTTACCCCAGTCCCTTTGCCTCTGATCACCTGTTTGTTGGACATTTTCTTAAGCCTTTGAACTTTGTATTTTCTTCCGCTAGCTTCCCTTTGGATGCATTTCTTAGACTGCTTAATGCCAACATAGAAATTGCTGATACAAATGAATGAATAAATAAATAAATGAAGTAAAAACATTCAAATAGTCCAAATGTGTGGTAGGAAGTATGAGAGCTAATATTCAGCAAGTATATGGCACCGTCAAGCAATGTTACTTAGTGAACCATAACAATACTAGTGGAAAATACATGAGTAGCACAACAGGTAGACATTTGAATTTGATGTACATCCATGAAACACACACACAAAATAATGTTTTCAGCACTGATCATATATAAAATATTATATTCTCTCTGTTGCCGAGAGAAGAAAAACATCCCACTAGCTTTCATCTTATAGGAAGGGAAAAACTGATCTTTCCCAAACTGTCTGATTTTTTAAAAAAACAAAAGTCCTGTTTCTCAAGTGTATTCAAGTTACTCTTTTTAACAAAATGCCAGGAATGATGGGTTCAACATAAAGACCAGTGGGGAGTATCAAAGTCCGTTAATTCTCTTCCATTTTCAGGGCACATCTTTTCACGGCATTCTTGCTTCACTTTGTGATGTGGTTCTCATTAGGTCTAGTAAAACAGCACTCAAGACACTATGATTCTCTCTTTCTCCCTTTGGGATAATTTATTCCACATGCTTATATGCTCTCTTGTGTTGCCAGCTTGTTGAGCTTTGCTTTTGGCTTGTCTAAATTAGCTGTTTCCCTGTGTTCTTGCAAGTGTAAAACATTAATATCAGTCAGCTCTGAGATGCCACATGAATTACTGTACTGATCTTTTTCACAAAGTTATCCTCTTGTTGCTGCAAACTGCACTTTTCTACATAAAGGATACAGAAATGAAGGCCTAGACAGGTTCATTTCTTAGAAGGGTTGAGTGAATCTAGAATTTGCCATAAATCCAGGCTGGACATTGATTCTTATTTTATTTTTTTAGATTGAAAGGTTTTGGTTTCTGCAACTATTCGTTTGTCTTCTTACCTATAAATATATAGATCTGTATGGTGCCTTTCTTTAGTTTGTTGTGTTTTCACAGCAACAGCTCTTCAGACCAGACCAGGAAACTGGTTTCTGTTTCATAGACAGTGAGGTCAGAAGGAAAGTGAATGCAGAAAGTCCTGAAAATGTCAATTACACTAGAAACATTCTCCATACACCAAATGGTTTCTAATGGTGTATTGGCACATGATATGCAAATTTATACTTGTAATATCAAAACAAGCAGTTATCCTGCTTCAGATCGCTAGTGACACAATGGAACTTTCTAAGCATTTGAAAATCTCACAGAAATTTGAATCAATATAATGATTTTTTTAAAATCACACTCCAGGTGCTCATTGGTTTACCTGGCCGTGTGATATTTGTGCCATCAATACCAGTTTAGTGAATGACCAGTTTTAACAGTGGTCATTGTCGGTACTTTTTACATTTAATTCTTCTGTTACCTCACTATTTTCTGATCACCCACCTGCTCACCCAGTATAATATGTATTTTGAAATTCTGGGTAACAGTTCACAAATCTGTGTTAGTGTTACACATGTCATCCTTTAAGGCAAGGGTGGGCAATTAATTTCTATAGGGGGCCACACGAAAAATCTGAACTGTGTTTGGGGGCGAAACAACTTCACTTAAAAATAAAACAAAACAGTGGTGTTATGATTGTTTTTATTTTAAACATGTTAATCTTCACAAATACTAAAGAGTTTTTTTGCGGTATGTTAAAGATAAGCAACTGATCAACTTAAGACAAAAAGCTATACAGTAAATGGTTTTGATGTTCAATTTGTTCAGTGAGAGGAATCCAGTCTGTCTTGGGCTTGAACAAGTGCTTGAACACCGGACTGGAGTGACAACTGGTGGGCCAGACAGGAGCGGCTCGCGGGCCGCACTTTGCCCAGATCTGCTTTAAGGCTTGAGTGGATTCTTTATTGCTTTTGCTGCTGCAGACTAACATAGCTGCCCTTCTGGAAATGATTTGGTTTCCAGGTAAAAACTCACAAAGAGGCAATATACTCTAAAAGTTTAGGCACCTATGCACTGCCTTCTGAGCATCCCTTGAAATATAGGCTGATTGATGGCTTGCTCTGTGTTAGCTAAGACTTTACACTGGTCTGTCTTTGCTGCTGTGAATAGCCAAGTTTACTTTACATGCATGTGAGCTTTCTTACTGGCACCTCTTTTGTTCAATGAAGACTATACTCTCTGGTAAAGGAGGTCTTCCAGAGCTGGATCTACATCTGGCTTGAGAAGACTGTTTACATACTAACAGTTAAATACTAATGTTTTTCCTCTCTTTATTCTATCCCTTTTAATTGTTAGCTTGAAAAGCCCACTACATAATTTTAGTGAAGCCACATCTGTGCTACTGGATAGAGAGGTAATATGTGATTTGATGAACGTGTAGGAGATCATTAGGAGATTGATGTTTTGGCTAAGTGATTGGGTAGTTTGATTTTAGCCAGAATTGTGGGGGGGAGAAGGGAGGGGAATCACTGAACATTTGTGACTCATCTTTGCATTGGGAATATTTACATATTTAAAAAAACCAAACTCCTTGCTGGATACTGTTTCTAAACCACATTTTTTATAATGTTAAACAGGGGAGAGGCACCTCCAGCAGCACGTTACCCCCCAGACGTTTTCTAATGGTAAATATTTTTGTTCTCTATCTCTATGAGGCATTTTAACTGTAGCCGCATTTTGTCTTTTGAAATATAATACATAACTCAGTACAGGGGCCTGAGCTGTTTTACTAACTGCATGCCTCACCTTGTGCCTTACAGAATATGGCGGAAGGGCAATTAAAAGAGACATTGGGGCTTACTAACTACCCAGCCAGAGGCACGACTGTCATTTCTAAATCTCCTTTTAGCCATTGTAATCTGCATGGCTGTCAGGGAAGAGTGGGAAATAGAGAAGGCCGATGCAAGCAACTGTACTTGGGGCTTCAAGTGGCTGCCTGCTTTGCTTTTGCTTGTGGCCTGTTCTTTTGCTAGAAATTACAGCCACCCACATTTGTGGATAAGGGGCAGTATGTCTTCTGATATTTGTTTCTATATTGTAGTATCTCTTAAGCAGTACTTCTATCCAGGAATATTGCAGAAGTTTCTCTGTCTCTTTGGGGTACTTACCTGTATTTCTTCATGCCAGTATAGAAGTTCTACTGTCATTAATGCCTATAAGGGTAGCATTGTTAAAAGAAGGGTGGGGAGTCAACAAAGGAAGTATTGACTTGTACAGTGTAAGTATTAAGAATTTGTGGCAGAGTCAAATGTGGAGCATGTATGTACTCCAGTTAGGAAACTTGCTCTCAGGTTTTCTAATTACAACTGCACAACACAACAAATTCTGACATTTGTTCTGTCTTATGGAAGAATTCTGAATAACTGGAAACAACAAGCTAAAGGACCTTCAGTAAAGATGGGGTACTATACTTTTCACACCAGTAACCACTGTGGATGTTGTATCCACATTAAACCTGACGTACTTGCAGGTGACAATGAAGAACTGTGTGGGACACATTCTATCCCATCCAGACTCTTTGTGCTAGTTTTGACTTAGTGAAGGCTGAGTTTTTCTACTGCACTTTGTTGTGTGTGGCCCTGAAGGCTAGGCAGAAGCATATGGCTCAAATGTAAGTGAGTAATTCCTCTTTTCTTCCATGGAATGCACATGAGAAGAAAACTATGATTTGAAGGAGTCATGCCAAAAAAGGCTGCTTTCTGCTGCACTGCTTTATTTTGCACTGGGGATTTGAAGTAAGAGTCAAGCATCAGGCTTGAATTTGAAGCAGCCTGAGTCAAAGTTGGTCTGTCCAAGGTGGTAACAATAACATCTGGAGACACTAAAGGGCCTCAAAGGGTCCCCCCCCCTGCAAATCACTGAAAAATACTGGTTCCCTATTGCTGAATAACAGCCATCTTTCTAAAATACAGTATTATATATTCTTTTAAGGATTCTTCTTGGTGATAGGAATCCCCTGATTAATCTTTGCTACCCAGTGTTTTCTGCTATTCATATGTAGCCCAGTATTTGAACTGTAGTAAGCTTTAGTTATTTTGCTTCTGTTATGCCAACATTAGTGTGCACTGGAAGGCTCATAAATAGTGTGATTGTATACTCCCTCATATTGCTGGCTGCACTAACATACCCCTTTCTTTTGTATTACAAGAGTTCTGACAACTGATGAAATTTCATGCATCCACACACTATTCTACTTGAATCATTCAGAGAAAGCATTCTGCATTTCCTGAAAAATGGTCCAAATTTAATAATCTGCATCTGTCACAGATCTTCCTGCTCCCCTTACGGGGCCAAGAAATACAATTATAGATTGATTCTGGTTTTGATGCTACTTTTTTGGAAGTAATATGGAAAGTCTGAAGACTTTCCATATTACTGAATGAAGAAAACACAAGTCATGGGCCAGGGATGAAACTTCACTATAGTCATTAGACTATATGAGATCCATCAAGGATAACAAAATGTGACATGAAGCTGTTGATTTAAGGTGGGAAGAACATGACTCAAAATATGCTCAATTTATCAAGGAATGGCCATCTTATGTAAAACAAGATGACATACATATTGCCAAGATGTGGAGGATGCAGAATTTTTTTAAATCGTATACAATCATGAAGTATGTGAATGTTTAAAATGCTGTTGTGCACTAAATGATTCTCCATAAGCATAGTAGGTCTCTGGATCTCAAGAAATACTCAGGAAATATGCTACAATTTTCTTTTACTGGAATTTTGTTTCTTCCTAAAAGCACCATATTTTATTAGTTTTAAAAATTCATATGCTAAAAAAGAACCCAATTTTATTGGCATGAAATATGAAACAAAAAATAATAAAACAGTAACTAATGTACACCAGCATATAATATTTCTCCTCAACTTCATCTCCCCATCACTACTGGTCAAGAACACTCAAATTGTTTTCCTCCCCACCTTTTTGTTAAAACAAAAAACAAACAAACAAAACTCCAGAACCCTACACAGAAAACTGCTCACTTCCTTGATTTGACATCCTTCTGTTTCTGACCATGAAAGTGAATCACTTTGCTAGGGTTCCCCAACTTGGTGTCCTCAAGAGGTTTGGATGACATTTATCTTCATTTCTGGCCTACAAGGTTGTATTCCTCCTTGAGATCAAATTGCTTCCTCGGGAATTTTGAATAAAAACTAACAAGCTTCGAGGCTTCCTTGCACACATTGGGATGTAACTGCTGCATAGACATTTTTCAACCACAAACACACACTTGAGTTTCCCTCTTTTTAATTTTCAATTACACTTGCAAATGGAAAATGCTGTTCAGTTCAACAGTTCCATGGTATTCTCTAAGTTCCATAGTAGTTCACACTTCAGCTGCTACGCAGTTCAGTGGACTCTGTCAGTCTGCATCAGACGTCATCTTGTCTGATGCTTCTCATCTTGGACGTTTAGCTTGACAGTTCTGTTCATTCTGTAGAAACTCATTTGTTTTCAGTCTGGAGCTGTCTAGTAGACTCTGTTAAACAACCCCCATGTTTCATCCTGGAAACCATTGCCTTTCAATAGTGAATGAGCTTTCTGTCTACTGATTGCAGTGGTTTCTCTTCATCTGATCTGAAAATTGGCAAAATGTTTACAATTTGAGCCGTAATGACTGTTAATAAAAAGACCTCCTTTGTAACACAGCTAGAGTGCAACAGGAATATCAAACACTTACATATCCTAGTGCTGAAGTCATGATTTGGAGATAGAATAGACTGAAAGTTAGATCATAGGTCTGTTTCCTACTGATATGATAAATTTGTGCTTGTGCCACTTCTGACTAGATAAGGAGTTTACTCAATATTCTTCCATGCTAGTAAGAAATGAATGAATAAATAAAAATACTTACACATAGACAACATAGCTTAGATCTCACACTGACACAGAGGCTGAAATCCAGTATTATATCACAACTACAGTAGCCAATAATATCAGTGGACCTCATGAAGGAGTTGACTTACAGTATCAGTTAGGCTACTCTAGTTTTGACCTAATGCTGGATTTCAGCCACTGTGTTTTCAGTGTGAGAAACGTTTTTTCCTATCTCTTCCTCCAACCCCCAGTCTCTGAAGTAGTATAGGAGAAATGCAAGATTGCCACCTCATTGAGAACCAGGCCATAATTAATGGTTTTCCAGATTCCCATAGAGTAGGAACAGATGAAAGATTGTTTCACTACAAGTGGATCTTTTTGTTTATTAGCAGCCTGTGATTATAGCAGCCCAAAGCAGCTGTTGTGTGGCAACCAGGAAGCAAGGGTGCTTTGCTTTTCCCATCCTGTGAGTCAACACCAACAGTCGCGGACACTGTGTGTGGTTCAGTGACTCATGTTTATTCATTTAAGCCTGGAAAACCACATTTCCCTCAACCATTCACAGAGGATATCACCATAGAACAATAGAAACTATCTTACAATCTGCCATCTCATGATTTTGAAAGAGTTGCTCTCAGAGTCTATAGCTGCGTGATGATGTATTTTAAAAAACTGCTCCTTCAAAATTATTGGTATTGCCGAGATATATGCTTTTGTAGGCAACAGCCCACTTATCAAATGTGTGATTCATCTTAAGTCCTACCTCTGAATGAATATAATTACTTGTTTTAGTTATTTGCAAATGTTTTCTTATCCTGTGTGGCTCATTAGTTCATCTCACAAGAGGATTAGCAGTAGGATATGCTGTTACTTAATATACTTCATTAATGTGAACTGGTGACATATGTGAGCAATACAAAGTTACTCACTGCAATTAAATCCAATACAAATTAAAAGTCTGCAAAAGGATCATGTTATAATTTGATAGGGACAGCAAGATGCAAAATAAAATGTTAATAGTTTAAAGCATAAGAACAGTCCCCTACATATCTGAGGTGATTTCATGGGTATTCCTAGGCACTAATGCTTTTACTCTTACATATGCTTACCTTTCTATTAGCATGTTCCTCTTTACCTTTCTACTACTATCTTTGCAATATGTTTAACTGACAAAATATAACTCTGTGGAACAGATGGCCTGAGAGGATGAGCACATTGAGGGCTCAAAGTTTATGAAAGATGCATGCTGCCTTTATGTCAAGGCATAAGCAGGAGGGGAATTATCTCAGCCAAGATCTCTTGGGCCAACTCTTTTTTGGGTTATCATGTTATAGATAATTATTATATGTTTTAAAAGTGAAATTTTATAAATTTATATTTTGTCATACATGTTACTTGCTCTTTGTAAAGGATACACATTTTCCAGAGTCACTAACTGTGCTGGCTAGATTCTGGGAGACGTAATTCGAACATGTCACTTTCAAGCTCTGTTCCCATTGTTTCAGTGCAACTAGGCAGTGCCTCTGCTGGTTTTAGACAAGGCTTTAACTTGTTAGCACAGAAATGAGTTCACTTCTATGCTAACGTGTTATCTCAGGCTCATCAGTTGACACAACTGAAGAACTGTTCTGTTTTTATTGCCTTTTCTTTTAGAAAGACAAAAAAAGCCCAACCCTTTTTATTTTAAAAAGACACAATCAATTTATATATATATTTATTTATTTGTTTGATTTATACCCCGCCTATCTGGCCCACCTGGCCACTCTAGGCGGCTTCAATATAAAATCAGATAATAAAAACATAGGCAAATACATAATAATCAAACAACAACAGCAATAAAATAAAGAAGGAAAAGTAAGAGAGACGCCCCATCCCATGCATTTCATCATGTTTGCTATTATATCATCAGGATATTGCTGGGGTTCCTACAGTACAGGCATGCTAATGTGCAACACATACCTGATTATCTACGGGAGATGCAGGCCTTAACAAAAGGGTCTGCCACTGTCACATGAACCTTGTTAGACATTCCAGAGTGTAAAGTGTGGTAAATGAATCTTCAAATGCATTTTAATCTCCCCTGTAAAAAAAGGAGGGAAAAGGCAGAGACAGACATATTATTTGAAATAGGGTTGAAGGAGGCAAGGTGTGCAATGCTGGATTGTGAGGGGAAATTGTAAGTGCTTGACTCTTCCTGTATTTGTATTTGCCAGCTGTCTCCTTCAAATATGTCCCTTTCTGCCCCCAACCTTTTTCTCAGGAGAGGTTCACTTCCTATTTCTGAATTCAGATGGGCAAAAGAAATTAATATATATAAACTACTTCTAAAAACAGTAGGTGTTAACATTTGCACAGAAGCATCAACAGAAGAATCAACAGAGAGATAAACAGATAAGCACTCTTCCTCTCAGCCACCACCTTTCCTGAAAGTTCTTGACTGCCTATCTTACTCTCTGACACTCCTAAATCACACTTTCAACATGACTGATGTGACAGAATAAGCACACACATACCAGCCTTCCTGACCTCTTTGAGAAAGATTTATTTGTTTGTTTGTTTGTTTGTTTGTTTGTTTGTTTGTTCGTTCGTTCGTTCGTTCGTTCGTTCGTTCATTACACTTTTATACCATACTATCCAACCTGGGGAGGGGTCACAAAAAGATGCGAATATAATAATTATCTATAACATGATACTGCATTATACTGAGATATTTGAAAGTACATATATACAGTGATCACAGCAGAAGCAGGAGGGGGAGGAGGTTTCTCTCTTACTTCTGTTCATTCTACAGCAGGAAATGAATTATCATCTCCATCTCCCAGTATATGAGCAAAATCAAGACATGAAGAACAGGGATTAAAAGTTACTAGATGTTAGTTTAGCTAACTCACAGCAAATAGTATTTGATAGTAAGTGTAAGAGACCATTTCTTTTGATTATGTATAGACAAAACTTGAAATCTGGTTTTATTATAAGCAAAACAGTGCATATTAGAATTGTTGTGAATGTTTGCAGTTTATAGTGTTATGAATGTTCATGTGTGGATAATCATCTTTTCAGGATATGTGAATTTACACTAAACCAAAATTTAAACTTCAGATGTTTAAATTTTAATACTTTATTCAAACTTGGTATCTCAGCCAAATGTTTGTAAATCTAGAATTAGGTCCACTATTTCTATAAATCTACCTTTAACTCTTCTCGGACTAGACATTACTTGGTCAGTGTTCAGACTTTTCTCAATAGGTTGAAGATGGCATTAATATTTTTTATTATCCTTCTTTGGACAGACTTCAAGATCTACTACATATGTCTTGAATTTAGGCAAACCTTGAAAGTGTTCTTAATTATTTTTCTTCTTTCAGAGACCTGTGCTGTCAACAATGGAGGCTGCGATAGCAAATGCCATGATGCAATCACTGGTGTACACTGCAGTTGTCCAATGGGATTCATGCTTCAACCTGACAGAAAAACATGCAAAGGTAGGTAGCAACCATATATATGTCCAGTGTCTGCGAGGGCATTTTCTATACAAAACTGGATATTGTTGAGTTCTTGCATACATTTATACTTGTTAAACAGTCCTTTGCCTAAGTGAGATGCTGTAATTTTGTGGTATGAGTAGGGGTGGTGAAGAAATTCATTTGCCTCACATTTTAGTATGAACTGATATAATTCAGTTTCTAAACTAACATTTGAACTTTCTTTTCGTTTTTCTATTTTTCTAAATTTTGCAATGTAGTTATCAAATTAAAAAACCCATACAATCAAGAGTATCTTACAATATTTTGCCTATAAAATCTGTGCATAAATAAAGTCCTTATAAAATTCCATAGAGGTGGAGTAATCTATATCAACATTATATTAGTTTTCTAGAGCTGCTTCTCAAGAATGTTTAAAAACTCTAGTAGATCTACAATGTAGTAGAAACTGTTAGTGGATTTTCATTCATAAATCACACTGTAGCTATCTTCCAACAAGCCACTGGTTTCCAGGCACGATTCAAGGTACTGTTGATTATATTTATAAATCATGTCCATGGTACCTTAGGGATCTCCTCCTCTCATACCAGTTTGTCCAAACTTTCGGATCTGAGGGAGAGGTATTTCTGTTTCACATCATGCTGTAGGGCTGGTTGATGTTGAAAGGAAAATACATTTCTCCCTGGTCACATCCAAATTATGACATTATTTCCCTGCAAGGCTCAATAACCTCTGGCTGTGTTTCATAGGGTCCCTTTCCAGCGATGATGATGATTGATGATGACATGACAAAACTACTTTTTCTAGCTGGCTTTTTGTTTTTGCAGGTTGATATTCTTGTTGCCAATGTCTCTGTTCTGTCTGCTGAACTTGTCTCTGCTCTTTTAATATTGGTAATTACAATACTTTATTTATGCACAGGCTAGAATCCTGTTGGTGATTTATTTGTGTGCAGGTTAAATTTTGTAACTCATCATGGTGCTATAATGGTTTGAGTACTGGACTGGGGCTTGGAATAGTTGGGTTCAAGCACACACGGTGCCATGAAACCTTAGGCTGTGCACTTTCTCTCATCCTGATAGAATCCTGCAGGGCTATTGGGAAGACAAAAGTAGAGAGAGAGACTATTTAAGCCATTTTGAGTTCCCCAGTGGAAAGATTAGATATAAATGTAACTATTGCATTTATAGCTGACCCTTATTGTGTCATACTGACAGGAAATGCTCTTTCTAATTCTGTCCATATGACACAAAAGATCTGTAGTTCCCATAGTAATTTTCAGAGTATCAAGAAAGCGGGAACTAGCTCCGTTGATATCTTGTACAAAAGAGGAGTTGGTTGTTGTGAGTTTTTCGGGCTCTTTGGCCGTGTTCTGAAGGTTGTACTTCCTAACGTCTCTGTGGCTGGCATCTTCAGAGGACAGCACTCTGTGCTCTGGTGTAGTTGGCTTTGGGAGTGCAGTATTTATGGCTGTGAGATAGGCCTTTGTCTTTTTCTGTAGATGGGTGATTAGTGTGTATTGTTGTGCTAAGGAGAAGAGATTATCTGTTCCTGTGGTTGATGGGTGTCATTAGCTGGTCTTTTGTGTGTAGTGATTCCCTGTCCTTGTGGCTGGGTAGAGTTCGTCAACCTTTTGCACGCTGTATTTTTGAGAGCTCGGAGCCAAGTTTTGTTGAGCTTCACACTTTCCTCTTTTCTGTTGAGGTTTTGCTGGTGCTTGTGGATTTCAATGGCTTCCCTGTGCAGTCTGATGTAATGGTTGCTGGTGTTGTCCAGTATTTCAGTATTTTGGAATAGAATTTCATGTCCA